AGCGAAACCTATAAAAGACAGCCAAGGGAACCCCATTACCAAGGAAGAAAAACAGATTAAACAATGGGCGGATCACTTCAAAGGACTCTTGAACCGACCATCACCTGCAACCCGTCCAGAAATACCAACAACAGCGCGCACACAACTGCAAGTTGACACCAATCCTCCAACGAGAGCTGAAGTCTTGAACGCAATCAAGCTTCTGAAAGCTGGAAAAACAGCCGGACCAGATGGAATACCCCCTGAAGCACTGAAAGCAGACCCAGAGACGACAGCAGACATGCTGACTCCATTATTGCAAAAGGTCTGGAAGGAGGGAAAGGTGCCTACTGACTGGAGGAAAGGTTACCTCGTGAAACTACCAAAGAAGGGCGACTTAGGACTCTGCAAGAACTGGCGAGGAATCATGCTCCTATCGACGCCAAGTAAAATCCTGAGTCGCATCATCCTGGAGAGATTAAAGGACGCACTGGAGACAGAACTCCGACCAGAACAAGCTGGATTCAGGAAAGGCAAATCATGTACTGACCAAATTGCAACTCTACGCATCATCATCACAGAACAAAGCATGGAATGGCAATCAAACCTCTACCTCAACTTTATAGACTTTGAGAAGGCCTTCGACAGCGTTGATCGTGAAGTAATTTGGAAATTACTCGAGTACTATGGCGTACCCCAAATATTCATCAACCTTATTCAACAGCTGTAATACAACGGCACCTGCCAAGTGATCCACAACGGAAGACTCAGCGAGGCGTTTGGAGTAAACACAGGAGTCAGACAAGGGTGCTTACTATCACCAATGATATTCCTAATTGTGGTGGACTGGATTATGCGTCAGACTGTGGGAAACGAGAAGACAGGAATATCCTGGACCGACGTGAAGAACCTAGAAGACCTGGATTTCGCGGATGACTTATGTTTGATGTCACACACAATCGAAAACCGACAAACTGGTCGAAGAAGCAGCAAAGACAGGACTCCAGGTAAACATAGACAAGACGGAGGTTATGAAAATAACCAACCAACAACAGCAACAACATCCAACGTCAATCACCATCAACGGGAGGGATTTGAAAGAGGTTACTTCATTCACTTATCTAGGGAGCATTGTCTCAACTACAGGAGGAGCGGACGAGGATGTCAAATCGAGCGAGAATCGGGAAGGCGAGAAACACATTCATCAGCCTGAAATCAATCTGGAAATCTTCGTCACTCAGCATCACCAACAAAATTCGGATTTTCAATACAAACGTCAAGTCAGTCAGTTCTTCTATACGGATCAGAAACTTGGCGGGTCACAAAGAATATTTCCAAAAGGCTGCAGACCTTTATTAACAACTGTCTTCGCTCAATACTGAAGATCAGATGGCCGGAAAGAATCACCAACAAGGAATTATGGGAACAAACAAAGCAAGAACCAATCGTCCAACAAATATGCAGGAGAAAGTGGAGATGGATCGGACACTCGCTGAGGAGACCGCTGGGTGACATCGCGCGCCAAGCCCTCGAGTGGAACCCGAAAGGGAAGCGGCGTGTGGGACGTCCAAGGGTGACATGGAGGAGATCGTGTGAAGAGGAGTTGAAAGAATATGGATTAACATGGATGCAGGCGAAAAGTATAGCAGAAGACAGAAGAAAATGGAGACGTGCAGTTGAAGCCCTATGTTCCACTAGGAACCCAAGGGAGAAATAATAATAATAATCGTATTATCCTATAGACAAAATACCATGATTGGTTTATATTTGAACTTTTGTTTGTAAACTTATGTATATTAGAGTTAAGCCTGATGGGATCTAATTGAAAACAATATTGTTCACTTAAATGTGTTGTTCTAAATTATACACTTCATCCAACAGTTGTACGACAATGCTGCGTGCCAAGTAATCCACAACGGGAAACTGACGGAATCCTTCGAAGTGAAGACGGGAGTACGACAAGGTTGACTGCATACTATCTCTAATAATTTCCCTAATTGCGGTAGACTGGATAATGCGACAGACAGCGGCGGGCATCGACGAGACAGGTATAAAATGGACCCATACAAAAACTTGGAGGATTTGGATTTCGCTGATGATATATGTCTGATATCCCACAAACTGGAAGATATGCAAGTGAAAAGCAACAAGCTGGCAGAAGAAGCATCAAAGATAGGACTAAAGGTGAACATACAGAAAACAGAGGTGATGCAGATTCGTGGCCAACAGCAATAGCAACAATAACAATCAGCATAAAAAAGAGAAATCTGGAAGAAGCGATCGAATCAACTGAAAATACGTGCAATAGGAATCATTCAACAGTTGTCCCAGAAACCCGGGAAGTTCTACTAACCATACTACAAATAAGTAGAAGTAAAGAAAACTATGAAACGAAGGTTTCAAAGTTGTGTAGTTATAATTATAATCGACCAAACGGCGGGTGAACTGTTCATCAGTCTGCTCTGTCCTCCTTTATGGCTATGAGACTTGGCCATTGGGAGTGCAATACATGAAAAGATTAGCTGTCTTTGATCATAGGTGCCTGTGTTCTATCTCCCGTGTGAAGTGGTATAATAAGGTGAGCAACATTGAGGTTAGGCGTCGAGTTCTAGGTAAGAAGGGGAAATCAATCGACAAGGCTGTGAAATTACATAGACTGAGATGGTTAGGACATGTGTTACGCATACCTAGCCATCGTTTTCCTCGACGAGCAACGTTAGCTGACATAGGGTCAGGTTGGAAAAGAGTTAGCTAGTGGTGGTCAAACCAAAACATGGCGTCATCAGCCAATGAAATCCACAACAGTTAGTTTAAGCCAGTTACGTAGGAAAGTGTAAACTTCGTGGTTGGGGTCCTCGGGACGATAAAACCAATGGTTGGAAACACTTGGTGATGAGGCTCAAAATTGTTCTCAATGGCTGGTGCAGATGCATCCACTCTCTGTGACTTATGATTTCCAATGAAACTGTTTTGTTCTTCGTTATTACTATTCCTTTGTCTCACACCTCTGTTTACTCTCCCTATTATGCATTTCTTCTACTTTCTTCTCTTGCTTTGTGTTCTACAAGGAGGGAGTGTGGCGACTTGAACTGCCGCACATATGCGCAAAGTTCCATGTCGAAAATAAACAGACAAACAGACAGACAGTAGTTATAATTAATTAATCATGAACAGTAAATTGTTTGAAACGTCATCCAATAATAATACGGTTTTACTGGGTGATATATCTAACAAACAAATTAATATGGAATTACATACTAACACACTGCTCAAGTTTTATACACATATTCCTATATTCTCCAGAGGAATCCTAGCTGAGTTTTTCCTCGCTAAGTTAGAGAATAAACCACTGAAAAGAGTAATTAGCGAATTGGATTTCTATTGTCAGTATATGGATGATACATTTTGTGATAATGAAAAATGAGAATGAAGTGCAGAATATCCTTGATACGATCAATGATGTTCATTCAGTAATAAACCCTACAGTAGAGAACGAAAGAAATAATGGTATTTCATTCTTAGACATCTTTTCGATTAGGAAAGAGTATGGTCCATACAGAAAAACGGAAACGACGGCAAACTCATTTTTAAATGGTGTGTTTTTGCAACATACACTCAACTTAGTAATGTTTGGTTCATAGATCTGTAGCAATCCACTCAAACAACTCTCTCTCTCTTAATGAGGAGCTTAATATTATCAGAGAATTACTCAGTAAAGTGGTTATCCAGATGAGTTGATTGACAAAATTATGAGTTTAGCGCCAAAGCAAATCGGTATGGTGTTGTAACTGAGTGTTAGTGTCTTATTGATTGATTGTTATCTCACTTGACTAGAATGAGCCTCCAGTCACAACACTGTAGCTAACTGACCATTTGGAAGTGTTCCATACACAAAGACACATTTAACTGAGACAACAACTTTATTACTCACAATCTCCTTTACTCATCAACGGAGGTTTAAACCATAATGTAATGAATATCAGTTTCTTATGCAAATCCCTTGTCTCATTCTTCTTAACCCATACGTCCTGACGTCGTCCTACAGAACCACAGAGATACCCCACGCTAGTGAACGGAGAAAAAGGCTTTAGGAGATTCGATCATCACCAATGATTTATATCTAACGCCACAAAAACATGAAGATCTACAGACTAAAACCAACGAGTTGGTAGAAGCAGAGAAGACAACAACTAGCAGTGTACAGAAGAAATAGAAAAGTAGTCACCTCTCTCACTCACCTAGACAGTATTGTTTGAATCACAGGTGAAATGGTTGGGGATATCAAAGCCAGAATCGGAAAGGCAAAACAGACATTCATTCACCCAAGATAGGTTTGGAAGTCTCTTGCACTCAGAATAAGAAGCAAGATAAGGATTGCCAACACTATTGTCAATTCAACGTCTTCATATGGTTTAGAAAATTGTGTAGCCATCCAGGAGCATTCCCAACGGGTCACTTCGAACTTTAGTCAACAGTTGTCTTCAGTTCATATTGAGAATCAGATGGCCAAAAAGGATTAGCAACAAGTAACACTGAGGCCGAACCGACCAAGACCCTATAGCCGAGTAGATATGCCGAAGCCAATGGAGATAGACTGAACATATGTTTAGAAGACTGTGCAGTGACATGGCGCACCAGGTACTCAAGTGGAACCCGAAAGGGGAAACGTCTATGGGTGATATGGACAAGATCGCATGAGGGAATGAAATCTTGAGAGCAATTTTGTAGCTAGCCAAAAAGAACCACATAGAACAGGATGAAACGGAGGTGTGTTGCTGAAGTCAAATATCTCTCTTAGAACCCAAAGGGGTGATTGTGGATGCCCACTGTGGACTAATCTGTTAATGCATGCATAGATTTTGAGAACTATGATCCTGGTGGGGTCATGGATGTGTACTAAAGCCCAGTATCAATCAGGTTTCAATGGTTCTCTAAGTGATATAAGTTTGTGATCAAACCTGAGACCAATCAAGTCCCTACACACTATACAATTATTTCTAAAGATAATGAAAAAAACATACTTATAACTTGTACAGCATCTTGGAAGTCATCGAACGGATCATGATCAATCGATTCGTTGTAATTGTCTCCATTGTGGTTACAACTGCCTGTTTGATAACTAGGTGGAAATAGACGACGACGTTTTCTCCCTTGACTCAACCCATCAAGAACTAATTTTGAAACAGTAGGATGATTGGGAAGCGAGCCCATAGTAGGACTGAAGGCTGAAGAAGAAAATACGTGGCACACGATTATTTTTCTAACCGACATCCACAATATATTGAAAGTTTATGATTGGACAATTCATAAAAATGATTAAAAACCGATGACTAATTTATTAACTCCTTATTAAATTCAAAAAAATTTTTCACCACTTCATCGAGCCCATTCTAATTTTTTACACTTCTCACACCGACAATTTGCTATCACTTTCTTTTGTGTGCTGTTTTGAAGTGATACATGTTACTGGTGATGTTTGTCTGTAACAATATATGATAGTTTTCTTTGCACTCAAACTTCACGACAGTATTAACGGCACTCACTACACTAGCACCAGTAATTTACATCAATAACAATCCTGGAATGTTTGTGTTAATCCCAAGCAAAGCCACCCGAGCAAAAATTTGCAACACACTACTATAACCAATCAAACTGAGAACTAGGATCATTCATTTTCAAAGACATCTCCATCTTTGACTCTATACTATAATACATACGTTGTGTTAGTGGGCTGATTAACTATCACTGAACACTTCAAACTTGCAAACCGAATTGTTTGCATAACTCTATACTGGGTGGTAAGATATTTGAAGTATTTTACCAGGTGGTAAATCTTATATGACTAGAAGTACTACACATAAGTGTAAGTTCTATTTTACTGACGGTCCATAGGAAGACAGCAGTCGTACAAATCTTTTGAAAAAAGCATATTGCTTCATAAAGGTTGACAACGATCACTTTTCCCTGTATAATGTAAATAAATGGGTAGCCTATATGACATTAACTACCATCTATACCTAAAGTCTTCATTCAATCCCTAGTAGGTTAATATGAGGACCAGAACCTTAGATACTGTAGTAGTCGAGCTGATACCCTTGTAATTACAGGCTTTGTCCCTTTTTACAAAAAAATTTACATCATCCTGATGCAGTTATTTCGTACTCCCATAAACTAATTAGTACCTTGGTTAGCCTACCCAAAATTTCATCACCGATATCCTTAGACGATTCCGCAGTCAAACTAACAAGTTCTGACAAGTGACTTCGTTTTAATTCAAAGAGAACTTCGATAAAGTTAGCCACAGTTGGGAAAGCAGGTGGGTCTAATTCAAACCAGAAGTGTACGGTAGGCAACTGCAGTGCAGCCGAAATGCTTTTCAAAGTGTTTTGTCCAACGTTTTTTTAATCTTCACTGAAAAATAGAAGTAACAAAACGCCTAATTTTTCCATGCCGGTTAACTTTTGTAACTATTGTACTTAGTCGGAAGCATCTAGTTCCGATGCGATTTCTGTTTATTTCAACAAAAAAGCGTTGACGTATCTACGATAATTTTTTATGTACTTCGTTCAATGGCATTCCCTTTGAGATTTTTAATTTATTGAAACCCGAGTTCGTGAACTGGAATGAGACCTTCGATTTAGTACTTGAGAATTAAGCGTACACTGTAAGTGTACGAAAAAGGAAAAATTTTTGAACGAAGAAACCGTCTAGTGGAATTTGGGGATTCCTCATCTTCTACTTTCATTTACTAGGCCAAAATGCCCAACTTTTGTTGGCAATATCAGCCCCACACAATCTTTGCTGGGACCAAATACGCGTCCTGGTTTTTGCTGCTAGGCCCCAGAAATCGAATAACATCGAAGTCATTTCTGAAGAAAACATCTAAAATTATATTTACACCGCAGAATGTACCGTCCGACTTTTCTAACATCTAACCATAAAAACACTGATGAACTACGTAAAAATAAGATATTGGTGTAACATTCTTATGACGTTACACTACTTAATACGTTATTCTCGGCATATTAGATCAAACCCTAACAAGTTAGAGGAAATCAGAGTTGTGTAGTATCATTTCTAATACCAAATTAGGTAAGTGACGTTAAAAATAACAGATGGATACATTATTTTCTGATATGACACCAGTTAACACTTCATAAGTCCCTATACGATTATGACAATTCGAATGCAATACTCTCAGTGGTATTATTTCTTAGCAATTCATTCAGGATACTCATAATTCCAAAGTCTAACTTGGTGGTATACGAAAATCGACAGATGGACCACACAATTCAGAATTATAACATTTCTTGACTAACATAACTGAATTCCATCTGCCAACCAAGAGATACAGGGATTGCAATTTCATTGATAACTTCGAAATGGAATCGAGTTAATTTCAGGAGTAATGACTCCTTTACTGGGGACTGAAACGCACATGCTTTCCATTGGTTAGTTTCCTCTCAAATCCAGCAACTACGGTCTTGAGGAAGTACATCTTAATTACGTTCCTTTGTACTTATCGAAAGACTTTACTAAAAGCAATTAAAGCGAAGCGTCATATACTGTCTGTTTGTCTGTTACTGACATAGAACTTTGCACCGATATGCAGCAGCTCAAGTCGCCACACACCATGCAGCGCACAACAGAAAGAGAAGAAAGTAAAAAGGAATGCAAAATAGAGACAGTAAACAGACATGGAAGACAAAAAGAAAAGTAATAATGAAGAACAATATAGTTTCACTGGGTATTATAAGTCACAAGGAGTGGATGCATCTGCCCCAGACACTGAGAACTATTTTCAGCCATATCACCAGTTGTCGCCAGTCATTGGTCTTTACCATTCCGAGGACCCCAACCACGAAGTCTACACCTTCCTACGTAACTGGCTTAAACTAACTGTTGTGGATTGCATTGACTGATGACGCCACATTTTGGTTTGACCACCACTAGCTAACTCTTTTCCAACTTGACCCTATGTCAGCTAACATTCCCCATCGAGGACGGCGATGACTAGGTATGCGTAACACATGTCCTAACCATCTCATTCGATGTAGCTTCACAGCCTCGTCGATTGATTTCCCCTCCTTACCTAGCACACGACACCTAACCTCAATATCATACCACTTTACACGTGAGATAGAACGCAGGCGCTATGATCAAATACAGCTAGCCAGCTTCTTCATATCTTCCACTTTCAATGACCAGGCCTCACAGACGTGAAGAAGGACGGAGTGGACTGATGAGCAGTACACATGCCCTTTGGTCAATAGCCCGATATCATGTCTACGCCAGAGATGGTGTTAACTGGCAGGCATATGCCAAACGAGCCTTCTGTATCCGTTCTGAGATTTCGTCAGCGATCATCCCATTGGGGCTGATGCAACTTCCCATATGAGTGAAGTGGTCAACACACTCCATCAACCATTTCACTCCCTATTTCAAAGCTACGAGTCAGTGCAGTCTGGTCCTGAAACATCATCTTACATTTGACAGCAGGAGCGAATCGCATGCCAGACATTCGTAGATTCCAGCTCAAGGTGTTCACAAGACTCTGCATTCGTCAGCGTCTTCACCTAGAAGCAGGACTATATCATCTACATATTCTAAGTCAACCAGATTATTCCCTGATCGTAACAAGTCAATCCCTGGGTCTCTGAAGTGAGTAAGGGTTAAGTTCACTAGTGCATCTATGATGAAATTGAATAGAAATGGGGATAATGGGCATCCCTGACCACTAGTTGTCACCACTTCACATGACAACTACGCGTAAGCTCTTACCTGGTTGACTGCATCAGTTCGAATAGAGTAGAGTGACTTGATCATGGCTACCTAATACTTTAGTTAACGCAGACACTAAACCGTCTCCGCCATCCTTAAACACCTCTAGAGTCATTCCATCAGGTCCCGCAGCTTTGCCTCGTTTCAGGCTAGTGACAGCCTCAGTAACCTCAGTTAGGGACGGAGGATCTGTCTATATCCCATTCAGGGAGGTGTTGGATGTTCGGCAGGTTGAGCGTGGCTGTAGGTCAACTAAACTGTTCCGCACAGTGCTCTTTTCAGTGTTCCAGTCATCTATCCAGGGAGGTAATTATGGTGCCAATTTTCTCAGATATTGTTTCACTTATCATTTGCGCCATATACTGGAGATAATAAACGCAACGTAACAAATTTCGAAATTTTACTGTTAATACTATCCATATTCTAATAACCATTGATAAGCTATTATTAAGAACCCAAAGAAAGCGTTAAAATCATAAAAATGTGTTTACAACACTCTACGGCGTGCCTGATAATGTTATTTGGCATTAAACATTGAGAATAACCCGTTCAGGAATTAGACAAGGTATAAAATATATGTAGTAAACTTAAATGTACTGAAGATGGTACTCACCTTCTGAATTACAATTGATAGAACCTATTATGTCTCCGTGTCCCACTGTATCGTTGCCACTCAGATCTTCAACCACATTACATAAGCATTTATCCGTTGAGATTGTACTGCTAACTGGAAATGGTGATGCTTTTTTCTTGGAGCGTCTGCACTGCGAACGCCGATGATCACAATGATGTAGGGCGATGCGCTTCGATCTACGCGGACAATAACCACAGTGATTCGGACGCTTTCTTGGTAGATTGCTTGCACCATTGTATCTTTCTTGGTTTCTAATTAAAAGTGACTCTAGAGGTACGTAAACCTCCAATCCATTGTGTGCTACAGCAGTTTGGACATTTCTGTAGGCCAAATCTCGCAAATGAAGGCGTAGATATTTTGATCCGACACTTTTTCCATAGCTCAGTGAGGTTTCTAAAGACTTTTGAGAAGCTAAATCAACATAAATAAAATAGGACGAAAAAGTATGGATATTGGGAAAGTATAGTAAAAATGACTTCGTAAATCGTTTTGAGAAAGCCTAATGCTATGGAAGTCAGTCACACTACGTCTTATTTTCGTTAAAATAAATGTTTGTGCAGGCAACCCAGCAATCAAGTACAGATTTGTATGTAAGGTTAGGAGTGGTACGTAAATAGGAGTCAATATCGCCTTTTATATCAGTGCCACTTAAGTGAAACAATGTATCTCACATAGTGCTGAATGCTACTCAGAACTGATACAATGCACTATGAACGAATGGTATGCACTCAACAAAAAATAATCCATAGCTTGAATGTGTACTTGTGCAGAATATGCATGCATTAACACGACACCACCCTGAACATGATCTGTCCACTGTATACTTGGTGTTATCGGTGAAATCAGGTGCCTTCCGCCAATAGGTAACAGTGACTATATAACTGTCACTTTTACGCGTAAGATTCACGCTGTCATACAGGTCAACAGCTGCTCGTGCAAACATTTGGAAAGCGAACACACGTGCAATCAGAAAAGCAATAACCCTAGTTGACTGGTCACTGATACAAATCGGACTGTCGAGGAAGATTGGGTGGGATTTAGGCATATACTAAATTGCGTCACTGCACCTTTTGTACCTTAGTCTACGCCTCGCATAAACCGTTTTGCTTTAGTAATGAAATAAGGCTATTAAGATAGCGAAAGAATTTATGTGATCGATTTACCGTGACAGAGAGGGAGTGGTTTCGGATGGACTACCACAAAATTCGAAACGTTTGTATATGATTGACGAAAGTCGCATCCAGTATGAGAGAAAGTTAGTACTGGATTGTGTACAATAACCAAAAAGACTACCGGTACATCAAACGTAAGACTAAAACTAGCAATGGTATACCGTCGCTCAGCAGTGGAGAGGCGGCTGTCAGACGAAACAAAAGCTGAAAAGATCTCGGATTAATTTTGCGATGTCTTTTCGTCTAGTCGTACCACCAAGGGGTATAGCGAGGTCACTAGCCTCGCCACTATAGTGCCTTAATTGTGATAGAGAACGCAGTGGTTCTCAAACTACTGTCTAATCTTATGCCAGGCAAATTACCAGGGTGTGACAGACTTCACACTACTGTTAGTCTCCTTGGCGGATATAATATTCATTCCACTTAAGGAGATTGTTAGATTGTCGCTAACTCAGGCTAGGCTACTCAAGGACTAAAAAGATGCAATTATTAGCCCCAACTTCAAAGGAAGTAACAGGCAGTCAGTATCTAACTACCAGTCTGACATGCATTATAGCGAAGGCAGAGTAAACGATCATAAGGGACCAGCTATTAGCCCATATGAGGAAATATGGCTAATAGGTGGGACAGCATGGATTCCGACCAGGGCGATCCTGCCTGAAAAACCTACTGTTAGCTAAGGGAGATTGGGTCGAAGCCAGGAATAAGAACCTTCTGTTGGACGTCATCTTCATCAATTTTAATAAAACATTCGATAAGGTATCCCATTTATGTTTCCTTAGTAAACTAAAACGTTTTGGATTAGATCGACGCCTATATGAGCGGTTTAGGATTACCTGAAGGATAGAAGGCAGAAAGGGTTAACGGTGTTCTGTGGGGGGAAAGCAGTACTGAGTGGAGTACTTCAGAGAACTGTACTTGGTCTCCTGCTATTTCCATTACACGAAAGTGAACTACCAAAAATTCAACAAACCAAATAACAATGATGATAGGTCGGTATTACAAAACGATCTAGACAAATTAGCTGAGTGGGCCAACCTCTGGATTCTGGAAATTAATTCCAAGAGAAGCGCAGTCATACACCTAGATTAGAGGTCTTACACGTCGTACTTCCTGGAAGACACATGATTGCCTCATATGAAGGAAAAAACTAAGTTATGAATTATTTTAATTAACGATTCATAAGTAATGGCAAATTGTAATGGAGCTGTAACTAAGGCTTTTGGGATGCTATGAACATTTCGAACGAATTCCAAACGATTAGATGAGTTTATGTTCCAAGTGCTCTATGCAATATATGTCAGGCCTCATCTAGATTACTGCATACAGCGCTTTGAGGAGGCACATATCCTGGAAAGAGTACAAAGGGTAAGACCCAAATTAGTTAGTGGTACCTCACATCTTTATGACAAGAGGATGAAGCACTTATAATTCTTCCCATTATCATAACTAAGGAGGAGAGTCGAATCAATTTTCCCTCCCTCTAGGATGTATTTACGACGTCACCATAAAAAGGTGACCAAAGTGAGGTCAAATAAAACATGTGTGGAATTTACATTTACTCACAGAGTGGTCAACGACTGGAACTCCGAAACTGATTCAGTAGTATCAGTCCGATCGGTGAGCACTTCCAAAGAGAAACTAGATCTCTGCAGAGATAGAGATTGCAAGGATTAACATAAGCAACAAGGGCCTTTTTTCCTTATTATCTGAATCTAGTCCTAAATCAGACGAATAACGACCGGTGGGACACAGGAATCAACCCTACATTTTCATCACCAGTTAATGAAACAATGTCTACATACACCCTCGAAGTATAATTATAAACGCAATATAATCTACATAAAATTGTACACGTGTCAAATAAGGCAACTAGGTCGAAATATCTGAGCATGGAAAACTGACTTCTGTATTTCTGCTTGGTACTTCACACCATTTTAGGTGAGACGAGATGTACTGTCAGGATGTTATGCCAGTATCGCTACACTTCAGTATCACAGCTATGTATTTGCAGACTTGAAAGCTGATATAACTAATGCTTCCACCAGTTACCACACAATATATACACATATTAAGCCTGCATAGGGAAGTATCTACGTGACAGATACCCACTGATTCAAAATTCGAAAGCTCTTATGGAGGAGCTCCTAGGACGCTTGTGTTCAAGATGAGTGACCTTAGGGACACACCTCGCTTACACACAGATAACAATCAACCACCTTCCAGGCTAACACACATTGTGTGATGACTAAGTTGTTTGAGTAGACGGTAGTGACACATGGAGATTTTGATTCCTATCGGTGATATTACTTAACATACCCTAATAGTTATATTCAATTCGTCTCAAAGGAAAAGTCCGTAGTTCTTTGAAACTCAAAAAGTTCGACGACTACAAAGAAACAGTGATGCATCTACTCAACTATCGACCAAACAATTAATATTTGGTGCGACTCATACCTTGGTAAAACCTTTCCACTGACGATAGTGTTTCCCTTAAGCTCTGAATATCAGTACAACGATCTATTTTCCCCTTGTATAACTGGCAAAGACTAGATGCAGCATTTGCGAAAGTTTCCCATACTTTAACTATCAATTTATTGGGGTGAACATCCCCAGTAGAAGTGCAATTGGAAGCCATGCAGAGAAAATGACTGAAGTAGCCGCTAGAAAAAGTTTAGTACAGTGTGTCCAATGACCTCTTTACGAAACAGTGTGAGCCGATTTGATTTCCCGGTGCTCGCTTCTTAGTTTTGAGGTAAACGTTCTAGGTTTTCTGTCAAATTCTGCCTAGTTTATCCTGCCACTCGAGTGTCGTAGTCTTGGTTAACTCTCGTAGTGGTAAACAATTCCCCAAAATTATTGACCACAGCAATCACTCACCATTGGATGCTGACCACCACTGTTTAAGTCGACTTGTTAGCTGAAGGCTTCCTGTCAAGCATCCCCGCCATTTGGTACCCCGTCGTGTCACGTGCACGATCACTAGCAATCTAAGCGTTCGTCTGACGGCTTGTTTTGGTCCCGAAATATATCACGTAGTTTGGACGATCAAATATTGGCTTTTGTTTTGTTTTTGGTACGCGAGAATAAATAAGTTAGAAGTTGCTGAATAAAAGATATCCGTCAACCTTTAAACTGGTGAGCCCGACCGCGAACTACATCTACGACAAATACGCAGATAACCCCGGTGAGTTCGTTCCTTTTTGTATTTGTTCTTGTACCATATATTATTCGACATAATTTTCGTCATGAGTGATCTTAGTCCCAAGGTCATCCGTATCCGCTCAACTCCTAAAACCATTCAGCTCGTACCATACTGGCCAGATAACGCTGAAACCTGGTTTCTGCTAGCTGAAGCAGATTTTTGTGAGCATGGGATAACCGATCAACGTTCACAGTTACTTGCAGTTATTCACGCCCTACCGCGGGAATTCAGCAAGTACGTAACATCACAGATGTTGAGTCCCGAGGTAAGTAACTCGTACGAGTTGCTCAAAGCATCCCTCCTCAGGAGAATCGTTCTCACGGACCGACAACGTCTGGATGAATTATTTCGTAACATCGAGTTAGGAGATCAGTCAGCCGCGAGCATGCTGAAAAGAATGAGAGAAGTTATTGGCCAAAGTCAGTTCGACGAAGGACTATTTAGAGAACTCTTCTTATCCAAGCTTCCACAGTCTGTACAGACCGTACTTGTGACTATTTAAGGTGTTGTAATCTATGACTTCGCTATTTTTGCAGATAGGATTCTAGAAATAACTAAACGGTCAGTTCCCGAAATATGCTCGATGACTAAGCAGACTTCGAGTAAGGATACTGCAATGATAGAGTTATGCAACTCCATCCAGCAGATGTTTAGGTCAAACATGCATTCTAACTCCTCCGACCGTCGTCCTAAATCTCCTCAACGCAGGAACTCACGTGGTCGATCTAAGTCCAAACCACGTTCACTGAAAAACCCTGACTGGTGCTGGTACCACAACACCTATGGCCAAGAAGCGAAGTGTTGCCGTAAGCCTTGTAACTTCGGAAATGTCTCAAAGTCTGTGGGAAACTATCCCGCCGGCACGCGTTAGCGGCAACCGTCGCCGGTGGCACTAGCCGCCTACTTTACATCCATGATGTGATAAGCCAGACTCGATACTTAGTCGACACAGGCGCCGAAGTCAGCGTCCTTCCTGCTACAGCAGCAGATCGACAGAAGGAACCTACCTTCAACTTACAGGCTGCAAATGGAAAACCAATCGCAACCTTTGGTAGGAAATACGTCTATCTGAACGTAGGTTTACGCAAACCTATTCGGTGGATTTTCCTTCTCGCTGACGTTACAATGCCCATCATTGGCACGGACCTACTTAATCAGCATGATTTACTCGTAGACGTCCGCCGAAAACGACTGACTGACAATGTCACCACTCTGTCTATCAAAGGCATCACCTACATAGGCCCCAGCTTGTCACCCGTTAAGATAAAGGCAATCATTCATCAAACTTTGCAACCTATTGTTGACAAATATCCGAAACTTAATTGCCCGTCGAACGACCTACCGTGCATAACCAGCAATGTTATGCACCACATCATTACCACAGGACAACCCGTGACATCTAAAGCGCGACGACTAGCTCCTTACAAACTGAGAATCGCCAGGAATGAATTTGACCATATGCTCACCCTTGGCATCATTCGACCTTCGAACAGCCCATGGGCATCCCCACTTCATATGGTTCCGAAAAAGGATAGAAATGATTGGCGACACACCGGTGATTACTGGAGAGTGAATGCCAAAACAACCCCTGATTGCTACACGTTGCCTCCTTCGAGGGAATAACAAGTCCATAGAACTTGACGCGTCTGCTCGAAATGCTTTTACCCAGATTAAAAAAGCTATTGCGAATGCCACACTTCTGATGTATCAGGATCCAACGGCACCGTTAAGTATCTCGGTTGATGCATCAAACACTGCAATCGGCGCAGTTCTACAACAGCTAGTTGACAAAGAGTGGCAACCACTCGCCTTTTTCTCCAGGCGCCTTCAATTAGCTGAAACGAAGTACAGCACATTCGGCAGAGAACTTCTGGCTATGTACTGTGCTATACGACATTTTAGACATTCGGTAGAGGGTCGTGAATTCATAATTTTTACTGATCACAAACCTCTGACGTACTCTCTGAACTCACCTTCAGATAAGTATTCACCCAGGGAATCACGACAACTGGATTACGTCTCACAGTTTACATCAGATATTCGCCATGTATCCGGAGTAAACAACACTGTGGCAGATGCCTTGTCGCGCGTTTGTTCCCTCACCCAAATCGACGGCATAGACCTTGTAAAACTGGCTCGTCTTCAAAAAGAAGATACCGAGCTTCAACATGAGTTGTCGAAAACAACTCTACAATTAGCTGAGAAACCCTTAGGTATGGGAAGAGATACTATTCTATGCGACATTTCCACGAGTACTCCTCGCCCCATCGTGCCTAAAAGTTATCGCCGTAACGTCTTCAATACGTTGCATGGCTTATCTCACCCAGGTATTCGAACTACTGTCAAGCTCGTAACTAGTCGGTTTTGTTGGCCTGGCATTAATAAAGAAGTAAGGGAATGGGCACACACGTGCTTAGCTTGTCAAAAGTGCAAGGTGATAAGACACACCAAAAGCCCACTTGGCACCTTTCTTCTCCCTGACGCTCGTTTCGAACACGTCCATATAGATTTGGTTGGACCCCTTCCTGAATCCATGGATATACCTATATTTTAACTTGCATCGATCGATTCACACGATGGCCGGAAGCAGTACCCATCAAGGACGTATCTGCTGAAACAGTCGCACGCGTCTTCGTAGAAAGATGGATCGCTAACTTTGGATGCCCATCTTCCATAACAACTGATCGCGGGCGGCAATTCGAAAGTGGCTTATTCTTCGCCCTGACTAAAATCATAGGTTGCATGCATTTTCGAACAACAGCCTACCATCCTCAAGCTAATGGTATGGTAGAACGTCTACACAGACAGCTGAAAGCTGGTCTGTCAGCTGCAAACAACACCCATTGGACTGAATCCCTTCCGTTAGTTCTCCTAGGGATACGAAACGCCTTGAAAACCGATGCTGGTTGTACTAGCGCCGAGCTAGTATATGGCACGACACTGCGACTGCCTGGTGAATTTGTTTCTCCCTCGAGCTTCCCACCAGTGGTAGATCACGCTTCATACGTCAGCAGGCTTACAAACGCAATGCGTTCAGTTAAACCTGCTCCCCTTCGTCCACAGTCCATTGATGTTTTCGTTCATCCGTGTTTGAAAACTTCTTCACATGTATTTGTTCGTCGCGACTCTGTGCGCAGACCCCTGGAACCCCCATACGACGGACCTTATAAGGTAATTAAACGTTCTGATAAATTCTTTGTCTTGGACAAAAACGGCCGCGAGGACACCGTCAGCATTGACCGTCTGAAACCGGCTTACTTGGAGGGTAATCCTATTAGCATAGAGCTCAACGTACCCCATAATCCACAAGTAACTGAAGATCGTTTAGACATCGATGAAGTCACTAGCACAGCGACAGCTACCGAATCTTCTGTTTAACCCCCTAAGAAAACCCGTTCTGGGCGTACCGTAAGGTTCCCAGAATATCTTCGCACTTATTTAACATAACGAAGTCGTATGACTCATCCAACTCATCCGTTTGTGGTACTAATTACTTTTTTAGACGCATCAGCTTTTTATATATAGTATCACTAAACACAAGTAAAATTTTTTTCAACAGTACATGTAACATGCAAAAAAAATAAATTAGATGTATTTTTTTCGATGTTCTGAACTTAGCATTATTTTACTGTATAGTAAATGCACACAATTTTTTTTAACCAAAAAGCTCATTTCGTACATTTTCCTCGACATGGTTCTTAGCGTACTTGTTTTCTTTTCCAGGTGCGATGGGCACTGGACAGGAAACAAACGAAGCACGGGATCCAATGAACAACAACAAGAAAGCTATGCACAAACACCCTATACGCAGAGGCAGATAAACCAGTAGGCATGCCACCAAGCCGCTCGGAAGATTTTTTCCACCGAAAGGCAACCATCGAGTATTTTTACTTCCGGCTGCTGCTAACTTAAAGTCCTCACCAAAACACTAGGGGGGGAGTGAGCTGTACCGATAAATAATTCCCCAAAATTGTTGTCAATGTAGTTGAAGATTGAACGATCAATTCATGGTTGTTTGCTCAAAACCAACTTCCCTATATTTTCGCGGAGACATCGATACACCAGTCATCGTCTCATCGGTCGCTGTTCAGAAAGAAGTCAGGCCAAAACTGTCAGAAGTAATATTGTGATTTATTATTGTAATATTTGCTCATAGATCTTAGTTTTAAAGCTTAATTTTAAAGTTGCTTATATGTTGGTGTTGCAATAAAAATTTCTCGAGTAGCCAATCGGTGTTTTGGTTTTTACGTCCGTTATTACTAGGCGTTTCTGAGAAACTTCAAGGAACAGCGTGAGTCCCAGCGTAGCAAAAGCTCAGCATTGATGGTTTACGAGATGTGGCTGACAGTTTCTGACAGTGAAGTCAGTTTCTGACGGCGGAAACATTTTCTGACGGATTCAGATAGCTGGTGACAGTTTGGATAGTCACCGTTCATCTTTCCTGGTGCCGGTCAAATCCTCTTTGAACAAGCAATATCTGGAACGTTTCTGGAATTGGGTCAAGTTCAACAATGCCTGGGTCAAGGA